GTCCTACAGGTACCTGGGTGTTCACCTTAACAACAAGCTGGACTGGACTGACCACACAGCTGCCCTCTACAAGAAAGGACTGAGCAGACTACATCTCCTGAGGACACTCGGGTCCTTCGGTATGCGGGGGGCTCTTCTCAGGACCTTTTTTGATGCTGTGGTGGCATCAGCCATCTTTTATGGAGTGGTCTGTTGGGGCAGCAGCATCTCCACTGCTGACAGGAAGAGACTGAACAAGATCCTCAGGAAATCCAGCTCTGTCCTGGGGTGTCCTGTTGACCCAGTGGAGGTGGTGGCAGACAGGAGAATCTCTCCTCTGTTTTCGGCAGACGATCTCAGTGTTTGAATCTCTGCCTTCAGCGACGGGTTTCTTTGAGTTTACATTGAAAATCCTGAGATGACCTTCTGACCTTCTGAGCTCCAACAGAATGAGGAAACGGGCAGCAGCTGCAGTGAATCTGGAGCTCCAGTTACACCAGAGGTCTCATTCTCGCGGCCCGCGGGCCAACTGCGGCCCGTAGGACGATGTCTGGTGGCCCCACCCCGATATGAAAGTATAATATTAGGGGCCCACAGGGTGAGCGGGCCTCTGAAGTTAGTCCCGCCCGCCGTTCCTTGTGATGGCTGACATTCGGTGCTAGGCTAAGCTACACTGACTTCATGCACACTACGCTTGTAACAATAGTGCGGCAGATGATGGACCCGTCCGGTACCAGTTTCCCTTCCTTGCAGTCGCCATTCCGGTTCTTTCTACCATTAATGCCAGGATCAAACGCAGAGAAAGGAGACTGCTACCGGGCTGCGTCATCCACCGCCTGTTTGACAAGTAGACGCGGTGATGACGTCACGCGTCGAGACGTTCTCCATACGTTGCTAGCTGGCTAAAGACTTCTATGAAACGTAGAACCGGAGCGACGCCAAGTGGAATAAAGTACATTTTGTCACACCCTCATCATGTCTTTGTCAATCCACAGACTGCAGTTCATGTGTTGGAGAAATAATTAAATGTTGATGACATTTGGGGATATCTTTTAAATGTTTTTTGTGGAATCCTTTATGCGGCCCAGCCTCACCCAGACTCTGCCTCCAGCGGATATTAATAACAAATCATCTATAATGTTTTATCTGAAAAAAGAATCAAAAAGAAACTTTCTGGCTGATTTTCTTAATGAACTTAAAAAAAACACTCATTAAATAATGTTAAATATTTAAATCATCTTGGGGTTAAGAAAATACTAGTAATTTTTGTGTTAATTTCACAAAAAACAAAACAATTAAAAGCCGATCATTGCATGATAGGTTTTCCTCTGTCAGTAGAATGAATCAGTGACTTTGATTCATCAACTTCCTCTGGACGTTTGAGCTTAATATCTATTCAACATACCAAATTAGATTTAAATTGAATATTCTGATGTCTCTTTGGCCCAATAAAGGCATTATTGTAAGTTAATTAACTGATATTATTTCTAATTACCAATCAAAGATCGTTTGCGGAACATTTCACGGTAATAAGGGATGAGTCACACGGACTAAAAGTCTCACTGATCTCCTTCAAACCTGCTCAATTAAAAGTTTCACACTTGCTTTTTTTTCTGGTAAAATACTCCAACAATCATAAATGTTGTGCCGGTTCGGTTCAGTACCAGCAGGATGGTGGGTCTGTTCATCGAAACAGCGGCACTTTCAGCCCTGAGGAGTTTGTAACTTTCCACGGGGGTCTCCTCACCACGACCCCCAGACCTCCATGTGTCAAACAGAGGGCTACGGCGACCCTCCACACGGACAAGAACCTTTCCTCGGCTCCGGTTCGGATCACTTTCTGCCATCATGGCACTAACAGGCGCGTCAGCGAGCACGGAGCCCGGTGTTCGGCACCGCCGAGCGGACAAACTTCCAGAAAGCACCACGCTGCGGCGGCTGGAAGCGGGCTAACCGGACACCTTTTAGCCGCAGGCTCCACCGCTATCCCACACGTCTACTGTGGGTCTCAGCCGAACCACCGAACCGGGTTTAAAGGAGAAAGACGGCACTGAGCGACCATATATGGGTTAAATGATGAATCTGTAGCCTGCGGTTAGAAGGCGGCGGATGGTTGGAAAAAGACTCAATGAACAAGTTTCAACACTAACGAAAAGTACCGAACAACGAGCAGCCCGGGGTTTAAATGAGACCGGTACCTTCACAGATGGGATTCTGAACCGTGGTGATGGATTTTCCGGAGACGAACCTTCTCCGTGGACTCTGCGGGGCTTCTGGAAATCCACGCCGCGACTCGCTCGCTCCAGACGGCTGTTGCTCAACTTCCAGCGAGCCAACTGCCCAGCTGTGACAACAGCCGTCAAGCTACTGTTGCTGCGGAAAGCGACATCCGGCGAGGTTTTTCAAAATAAAGCCACGTAAATGAAACGACGCTTTATTCACTGATTAATAAACAAACTGTTAAGCAGATGCCTCCGTGATTCTACATATATGTAAGAAACATCAACTTTCACATTAAACAAGAGGCACTGCAGTAAATGTTAAATGATCTCACAACTGCCGTCAACAAGCTTTTCTTTTGTAAGCCAAAAAAATGTGGCCCCAACCGGAAGTGGTAACAAAAAGCTGATAGAAAATTACAGGAATGAATGCAAACAAGTAAATACCACCAGGACCTGGTTTACTCATGCTTTAACATAATCCAGTACAACCAGGCAGATTTTTAGAAATCAAATAATTAAAAAAGGAGCCCGATATGTTATAAGATTTAAATTTATAATTATAACTTTGAAAGTTAAATTATGGGTTTCTGTCTGTTAAATCTGCCTTCGGAAGTCAAAGCATGACATAGCATCCCAAAATGGACACTTTGAAAGTTGACATTTTGACTAGTCATAATTTTATGGCTCAATATCATGACTTTGAATGTCAAATTATGACTTTTCTCATAATTGTGATTTTAAAAGTCAGAGTGTGAGTTTTCATCCTCAAAGATTGCAGTCAAGTTTACTTTGAAACTCCTAATTATGACTTTTGATCTTAATGTTATGGTTTTTGTATGTTCTAAATAAAACTTTGAAGCTCAAAATTAAGACTTAATTCTAATCTTGACTTTAAAGCTAATTAATTTTACATCCAAAGTTGAAAAGTGAAATTAAAATATGGTGTGATGTTTGTATTTTAACTCCAAATAAAACTCAGTGATGTTACCAAAGCAGAAAACTAGCACTGCTCATCACCCAAACATACCATACCCACTGACAACACAGAGGTGGCAGCATCATGCTGTGGGAAGCAGGTGGGAGGTGGTGGGGAAATGGACGGAGCTAATCAGGATGATCCTAGAGGAAAACCAGCAGAGGAGCTGAGTCTGGGGTCAAAGTTCACCTTCCAGCTGAACAACCAGCCTGAAGACTCAGAGATATGTGTAGATCAGAGCTGATCCAGGAATTAGAATGGCCTAGTCAAAGGCCAGATCTGAATCCAACTGAAAATCTTGGGAAACACTTGAAAGCTGATGTTCTCAATGTTTTCGATCCATCTGGCAGAGCTGAAGATGTTCAGACCTGCAGCCAGAGGAGGCGCTACTGAGTTCTCACACTATATTAGCTTCCTTTTTATTTTTTCTCTTTTCTCATATTTTCCCTTTAATAATAGTAATTTCTGCTACTTTTTAAAAATCATACTTTGACTTATTTTCCTCCAAATATTCCCTCTTTGCATTTTCTCCACTTCTGTTTTCTCCTTTGCATTTACAGATTTCTTAGTTCTTTTTCCCTCTGAATCTTTTTAAGAGCTGAAATAAAAACTGGGAGGAGATTCAGGGTCAGCTGCTCTCCTAGCGGTCAACGCTGGCCAACTCTGCAGGCTTTCCTTCCCACTTGTGGTCACAAAAGCTGACTCTGGATCTCCTCCCAACTTTTTCATTTTAGCTTGTAAAGAGAAGGAAAAAGAAAAGAGAACATGAGAAAAATTATCTGTAAATAAATGCAAAGGAGTGGAGAAAATGCAAAGAAGAAATATTGGGAGGAAAAGTTAATGTGTGACTTAAAAAAGTGACAGTAAACTAAACAAAACTGAAATACTGAAAAATGGAAAAAAAAATAATGTACCGAAATAATAAAAGGCGGCAATGAAATGGAAGATTAAATCATAGCTAATGTTTGGTTACATCCAGAGAGTAAACCGCAGAAATGATTCTTATTGGAAGTAGCAGATAAAAATAAAGAAGTGAAGTTCTGTGTTTCATGAAGAACCAGGCAGCAACACAAACACAGGACCTTCCTGTAACCTTGGAGCCGCGCCTCCTGAGAAAGCATGTGGCGACAGTGGAAGGAAACAACTCAGTTTAACAGAAGCAAACCTGGACCAAAGCCGGTGTGAGCAGAACCAGAACCGGTGAGAGCAGAACCAGAACCGGTGTGAGCAGAACCAGAACCGGTGTGAGCAGAACCAGAACCGGTGTGAGCAGAACCAGAACCGGTGTGAGCAGCAGGGACTTCATCAGTGGCTTCTTAAAGAAACATGACTAAACAGGACAGAGCCAAGTCACACCAGAGCCTGGAGCGATTTAGTGTTTCACTCCCGTCTCCACGGTGAAACAGAGCCAGGTTTTATCAAACAGGAAATGGTTTTATCAAACAGGAAATGGTTGCTTCGTGTTGATTTTGTCCTGGTCATACAGGACGTGGATCTTTCTCAGCCGGGTGAGAAAATGTTTGAATATTGAGAAACTCTGCAGTTCCTGGCGGCTCCGTGTTTCGCCGCTGTGAGCCACTCATGGATCCTCCTGGAAACAAACCTGCAAAATGCCATCACTCTGTCAGCCATATTGTTTATGGCCTGGCTGCCATCTTTAATTAGGCCTGAACTCAGCTGGGGTTTAGCGACCTCATGTGGATCATAACTTCAGCAGAATATTGATAAATCATCTTCATTATCAGCAGAAAGGCTGAACGGGTCCAATCAGAACCAGAAACCACCATCATCCAGTTTCCCTGTATCCATGAAGAACACACAGCTGAGCTCTCTGACTTTATTATTATCAATAAAACATTAATTAGAAATACAGTAAATATCCTTATGGACTCACTGAGGGCAGAAGCAGGAAAATAATCCCAGGTGGATCGATGCTTGTTCAGATTATGAAAGTGGAGTGTGAGTGTGTGTGTGTGTATGTGGTCTCCAGTTTGTTCCTCCTCTGTATTTAGGAACAGCGCCACCTACTGTTGGAGGGAAGGAACATCTGAATCGTTGAATATTTCCCCTTTCTTCCTAAAATAACGAACCAAATCATATTTTGCAAATGTAATTTTGGATAAAAATGACTCGGCCCATGATTTTAGGAAGGTGAAGATATGAAATCATTTGCTTTAGTAAGGCAGACGTCTTGCTGGGGAGCGTCCCAATTCGTGTTTATCCCCAGTAGAACTGGCTGCATTCCTTTCAGATCAGCAGCCAGAATGAGATGAATCCAGGAAGCTCAAATAAACTGATGGAAAAAACGATCAGTTCATCCACAAAACTTGTCTTTCCAGAAGCTGGAAGAGATGAAAGCGGATCACAACCAGAACATCTGCAGTCCAGACCCGGGTCTGGTTCTGCAGGTTTCTGTTGAACCAGCAGGAGGAACTGTGGAGGAACCAAATGTTCTCCAGAAGGATTTATTCACCAAACGTCTGACCTCAGAACCAGAACTGGGTCAGGACCGAGGATGTTCTGGTTCTGACGTTGTCTGGGTGGACCGTCAGCGACCCATCAGGCAGAAAAACATTTTCATTCATTTCCGTTTCAAAGCTTCGAGGTTTTCTGCTTCATCTCCAGAAATCTGGATGGATGAGAGTCTGACCAGGCTCTCCGCTGACCTGGGCTCATCGGGTCGTGACCTGGGCTCATCGGGTCGTGACCTGGGCTCATCGGGAAAGGTTTTCCTCATCAGTGCTTTGAGGTGAGCGTCAGAGTGGAAGAGACACGGAAGATCTGAGGCAGCATGTTGCTCAGCTGGTAGAACATCTCCTCTGAAATGCTCTGCAACACAAAGAAAGATGGCGGCCGGTCAGAGGCGACCTTTAGGACCTCAACACTTTGACCTTTAGGACCTCAACACTTTGACCTTTAGGACCTCAACACTTTGACCTTTAGGACCTCAACACTTTGACCTTTGGGACCTCAACACTTTGACCTTTCAGTCAGTTTGTTCTCATCACACTTGCAGCTTTCCTTCATCCCAGTAAACACCGATCTGTAATCCAGGACTGAAGCAGAGCTGGTCACACACTCAGCTTCCTCTTCCTCCTCCTCTTCCTCCTAAATCAGCTGAAGCTCTCTGGCAGGCAGCCAATCAGAAAGCAGTCCAGCATCTTCTGCTGTAAAATAATTCAGACTGTCTGAGTGTCGCCTGCTGATAGAAAAATGCAGATTTATAGGAAAATATATTCAAATGTTGCTCTGAAAATACAGAGAATAATAAGACGAACTCCCAGACTACTGATGTCAGAAAGCAGCATGGAACCGGAAAGGTCGCTCCTAAAGGTCGCTCCTGTTTTTCTGCTGCATCATTTAGAATGCAGACAGGTGTGTGTGTGTGTGTGTGTTGGCCTTGAGTGAGTTAGATGTGCCGTTCTGTGAGCCAGGTGCATTACACTTGCATGACCTGTTTATGGAAAGCCAAAAGTGCCATTTTTGTCATGGTTCAATTTAAAAAAAGTCTCAAAAATCGCACTCTGACTCCATCCATTTTCTTGCGCCCTTGTTCTTGCTGGGTTGGGAGGGCTGCTGCTGCCTCTCCAGCAAATGTTTCGGACGAGAGTCAGGGTCACCTGGACAGGTCGCCAGTCTGTCGCAGGCAGTTTGACTCAAAATGCCATGAAATAGAGAAAATTTCATCAAAACACCAAAAATGACATTTATTCAGACACGGGGTCAAAGTGGTGTTTTGTGGCACTGTTGGCTTTCCATATGTATCTGTGTGTGGTTTTGTGTGGCCAGATGATGAGGCTTGTCGGGGTGAGACTCTCCATCTCTCTCGGGTCTTCCTCTGGACCTCGTCCCTCCTCTTCGTCACGCTGCAGTCCAGCTTCTCAAACCCGACAATCAGCCACAACGCAGTGTTGGAAATAAGAAAGCAGCAGCTTGTAGTCTTGAAATTACAGTACCAAAGATGTTGCATCTGCATTTTGATGGAGCAACTGTCCTGCACAAGTGAGCCTCCAGAAATAGATTATTTTCCAAATAACGCAGAAATATTTTATTATTTTCCAGAGTAAATAAAACTACTCTAAATATTGAGGTTAAAATAAATTCAGAACAAATACTTCCAAATATATTTAATCTGCGCTGCAGCATGATTATCATGCGGTGTGACGCTTCAGTGTATTTTGAACAGGCAGTAACTTGGGCAGCCTGGTGATGAAAAGGACCAGCTGCAGCAGCGTCTCTGAAGTCAGCAGGTCAAAACACATTTTTGGTTTTCAGTCACCGAGTTAAGACTCTGACATCAACAGTAATTATTATCATTTACACCTAGTTTAAATATTTACTCATTCTTAAAACCGATTGCTGCCGTGTGGCTAAGTGTGAGCTAACTGCAGGCTAGCTGCTCCAGCTGGCTAACAGGGGAGCTAATCTGATCGCATCAGATCAACGTTGCTGTTTGACGGGCGGCGGAGCTCAAACACGCCACAGCCGACTAATCCAAGTATTCACACCTTGTTGATCCATGACGCCTGACATTCAGCTCACTGGCTTCATGTTTGACCCCTGACCTCAGAGACAGGTTAAGTCCAATCAGCTCGACTCCGTTTGGTCTGGAGAAACGTCTCACTGGGATCAGTGGAAACAGATCAGCTCTTCATGGCAAAGGGTGGGAATACTTATGCACGTGTCTTTTCTTAGTTTTCTATTTTGAATCCATTTGCCAAATTAAACCTGGCCCACATCGTCAGAATGAGGCATCAGAGATGAAGTTAAGATCTGGAAAAGGTCTGGAACGAAGTGAAGTGGTGTGAATGTTGCTGTAAACAAACTGAATTAATCTAAATTATCTTGTGACATTAACAGTTATGTCATCCTGCGTTTGATGGTTTAGATAAATAAACCAAATTGTGACACATTTCCACTTAAAATTGTAACATATTAAAGCCATTGGGATTAAAATGTTGGATAAAGTTTGAAATAAAATAAGAACTCCATGTTGTTTTTCTGACACTGATGCACCAAACTGATGAAAATAAATCATTTCAATCTAAAATGCAGATGAATGAGAGTTTGGGAAGAAAGAACATTAAAGCTCATCTATCAGCAGCTGCGACCTTTGCCCTGAAGCAGATAAATCGCAGGTCAGCTGGTTAAACATGGAACCAAAGGTCAAAGGTCACCTAAAAATACCCAGCAGCTCCTGGCTGCAGCGACATGAGGAGGAACCTGGCTGAGTGACTGTAAATGCAGCGCTCAGTCAGGTTGCCATGGAGACAGCAAACAGCCGCCTGACCTCACCTTTGGCACCAGGAACTGAACAGTGCGGGAGATCCCTCCGTCCCACGAAGCCATTTCCATCATAAAACCTGGAAGCAGAAAACAAGAACAGAAGATTAGGTTTACCTTCAAACATGATGAAACATCTGGAACATACCCAGCATGCACTGCAGCCTGCAGGGTTACGCAACAATTCAGGGGAAAATGTATTCATATCTTCATATTTGGCGACACACCTGGTGAAGATGCATGAACAACCTAACAACAAATTGATTTATTTTGCTTTTTGTATCTCATTTAAATGTTTCAGAAATGTGACTTCATAATTTTAACATCTTGAAATTGGGTCTCTGTCTCTTTAAGAAGCTCCTGCTCTTTCTGAAGCTCCGCTTCCAGGAAGTCATCCCAACATGGCTCTTCTTTAACCCTTTAATGTTTTTACCAGCGCTGCTCTGAGCAACAGCTCCTATAAGGAGCTCAGCAGCTGTTTGCTAATTGCTGCTGGCTAGTCTGAAGGAGCTGAGTGGGGGAGGAGCTGCGCTTGAAGGCGGGGCTAGGTCCAACCAGGCGTTTAACAGATGCGATTAAAGGATTTCTAAAACATGACAGAATGAAAGCAACACTGCAGGGAAATGCATGAAAACATGATGGAAAATAAAAAAGTGCATTTTTCATAATCCTGTCATTCCTCCACCAGACAGCAGGGGGCACTACTGGTACAGGCAGGGGTCAAAGGTCACGGTTACCTTTGACACATTTGAAGACCAACTCTGCTCTCTTCAGGCACCAGGGGATGGTCATCTCCTGCAGGGAGGAGAAGAAGACGAGAGGAAGAGCAGAGGAGAGGAAGAGGAAGAGCAGAGGAAGAGGAGAGTGTGACTAAACCAAGGCAGTGATCTGATTACATTTCATAGTTACAAAACAACTTCAGCGAAAGTTCCAGTTTTGAACTGAATCCTGAATAAATGAACTTTTCTGTGCGCTGAACACAAAGTGGATCCTGAGAGCTTCAAACAGATGATGATGATGATGAAGCAGCAGCTGACCCGTCTGAGTCTGCCCTCTGAACAGCAGCCGGACCTTCGTCTCTAGAAATAGTTTCTCTGCTTTCCTCACATCCAAAGACAAAAACATCTAAAAATAATCAGCCGGCGGTTCTGTCTGCGCTGCGGTCCGACTTCCTCTGAACGGACTCCAGAACCGGGCTGCACTAACCAGTCGGATCCCTCCTACAGCAGGAGGAGCCCCCAAGGAGCCGGCAGAAGAAAAACTGCAGTGAAAACAGAGGCTCCAGCTTCCGGGAGCCGCGGGACCTCTGACCCGCTCCCTCCATTTAATGTGGATCGGTTCTAGAGTGTAACTCCAAATGTCAGTCTGTAAACTGAAGGCGGTTCTGGAGTTCCTCTGCAAAACCTGCTGCTGGCAGAGACTCGGATTTAAAAACAGAAAAATTAAGTCTGGCTTAAAGTCTAAACATTGCAGAAGGAGAGCGTCCAAATGAAGATTTAAGATTATTTTCTTTAAAGTGTGATTTTATCTGCCGATGTTTTCAGCATGAATCAGTAGTTTACGAAAGAGGAACGCCAACCTGGAAATTAAAATTATTATAAAACCATAAATCAGCAAATCTTCCATCCTGATTCAAGGTGACAGGTCAGTCAAACTAAAGTCCAGCCCAGGTGAGAAAGAGACTGATGACATCATCACAATGCTAACAGACACCTGATGACCTGACCTTTGTTTTATGAAATACCATTTCATAAAAAGACCAGAACTGATTCATTCTGGGACTGTTTTCAACAGCTGATGAACTATGAACATGAACATAAACTCATTCAGTTTTAGCGCCATGGTCAACATGAAGCTAGCTTACTTCATGTCATGAGGTTGATAATTAATTTCCTGCAAGAAGAGATTAAAAATACCAGATTATTTACAAACTGTTATAATTTAATTAAAATAAGTGAATAAAGAGCAGTCCAATGTCGTGCGCTGAGCTCTTCCTCACTTTCATAAAGCTTCAAATCTCTTTAGAGAAACTAAATATGTTGGTTTCAATCATATTCTAAATGTAGCAGACTAAATTTAACTTGCAGAGTCAGCGTTTTCAGCTGCAGCTCATGCTGCTTCCTCTCTGATCGTCTTCTGCAGCGGCGTTTCGGTGCAGCCGCCTGATTAAACACGTCATCAGAGCAAATCCATCTGAAACCCGTCTGACCTGCAGCGGCTCGCAGCGCGCCGCTTACTAACGACTCGCCTTCTGAAGCTTCTGGAAAATCTGGAAATTCAGCAGCAGAAAATCTTGCCGTTAACATGTCAGAGGACAAGAAAGCAAATCTGGGTTTTCTTATCTTTCATTTTGATGCATATTTATTTTTATCTTTGAGTTTGTGGAACAAAGAGGTGAAATAAGTTTGATGATTTGCTGCATTGGCACCACAGAAAGTCAGTAAATTAGAATCTGGTTCTGATGAAACCAGAGGAAAACAAACCGCAGTACTAACACTTTTTATTGATCTAATATTACACATACAGTTATTACTGCTCCAATCAATAACTGTTTTCATCTCTGTTGGTATTTTTACATCTTCCACTGTTTTCTACTCATTTTTATTAACATTTCTACTGTTTTTGACTTTCTGCACTTATATGGTAGAAATGTCTTTTGTAAAAGTTCAATGCAAATTTTGTAATTTTTTTAAAAGTCATCCTGCTGAGCTGCACGTCCTTTAGGAGAGCAGAGCTCCGTCCTGTAATGTTTGGATGCTCGGCCGGACCGGGTGGGTTCTGGTCAGACCCGGTGGGTTCGACCCGGTGGGTTCTGGTCAGACCGGGTGGGTTCGACCCGGTGGGTTCTGGTCAGACCCGGTGGGTTCTGGTCAGACCGGGTGGGTTCTGGTCAGACCCGGTGGGTTCGACCCGGTGGGTTCTGGTCAGACCGGGTGGGTTCTTGTCAGACCGGGTGGGTTCTGGTCAGACCCGGTGGGTTCTGGTCAGACCCGGTGGGTTCTGGTCAGACCGGGTGGGTTCTGGGTTCGACCTGGTGGGTTTGACCCGGTGGGTTCTGGTCAGACCGGGCGGGTTCTGGTCAGACCCGGTGGGTTCGACCCGGTGGGTTCTGGTCAGACCCAGTAGCCAGACGCTGCAGCAGGAAGCAGGACCGTCGCTCTGGACGACTTGAGCACTGCTGCTTTAGATCATAAGTATAATATTTCTATTCTAATGTTTTCTATGTTATAATCTTGTACAGTGGATGATTTTTGCCGTTGTTATTGTCAATCTGTTTACCTGATGCTGCTGTAACCTGAATGTCCCTCTGTGAGACAGTAAAGGCCGTTTCTGTTCTTCTATTTCATTTGATTTTATTTGCAGGAAGCAGAAACTCATCCAAACCAAAACAAAGGCCTGAGAAATGGAATAAAATATTTTTCTTTGTCAGGATTGATTGAATCTGACAGTAAATGAATTGAAACCGACTCAAAACACTTCCCAAATATCATATTTGTAACTGCTGAGAAAAGCTGAAATGTTTGTGGTTCTGAAAACCCAAAGCACCGGTTCTGATGCGTTCTGCTCGGTGTGTCTTGCTGCTGTGACAAGCAGCTGACATAACGATCACGCTGATAACTCAGCGATGGCGGTGAACCCGTTTCCTGTCCTTCCTGTTCTCTGTAAATGGGTTAAATGCGTCGCTGCTGTTGTGACTCATGACTGGCTTTGTCTGAAACAACCTCTGGAAACTGCAAATATGAGCTCATTACCGGAGCAACAAAGAGTCGCAGTTAAATGTTTATGATCTGAATCATCATTCACAGCCTCACCTTTGGCAAGGTGACGTCATGTACCTGACACTAACGCACACCTGGCTTTAATCAGCATCCACTTGGATTTTCTTCACGTATTTACAGTAAATTAGTTTCCTTTGTGCCTGATGTCATGTTCAGGTTTAGTCATATAGATGTTTCTAAAAACTGCAATAACAGAAATAAAACACAAAAAGTTCATAAAACAGAAAATAAATGTGAATAAAACAGTTTAAAAATCAGCAGTAAGCAGATTGTGTGTTTATAGCTCTATAGAGTTATTCTAATTAATTAACATTAAAGTGAAATAATGTGGTAAATCCATTTAAAGTGAGTAGATCTGGACTAGTGAGGAAATAACAGAGGTCAGAGGTCACAGTGAATGCATCCCAGAATAACCTCAGCCTATAGGATGCACTGCTGCTGCTCACGTTAAGGCCATGATGCTGGTCAGAGCGGGAGCAGAGCTGAACCAGCCAATCAGTGACCTGGTCAGGTTGCTGCTTCCTGTGTGTGTGGCCCCGGACCTGGACCGGGGCGGTCGGTACCTCGGACATGTCGTGGACCAGCAGCAGCGGCACAGTGACGGTGGTGACGTCGTGCGTGCAGCAGACCTTCAGGATGTTCCTCAGGCCCATGATGGCCGGGTCGCGGGCCGTGATGCTTCCTGACCGCAGGTTGTCGTCCACACACAGGTGGAAGACGACGTGGACCTCCGACAGGTTGGAGTGTCTGGAGATGTAGAACTCACCTGAAGGAAAACACGGAGCGATTCAGAAGAACCGACTCAAACTGAGCTTCTCCACGTGCTCAACATCCATACCTGGGAGAATATTTGAGGGATTTCTTTCAGCTGTTTTGCTCTTATCATCTCCTCCATTCTTCTGATTTTCTGTAGAAAAACAGAAACAAAACTGAGCAATAAATCATCCAACTGATGCAGAACTTGGAGCAACGAGCATCTCTGGAAGGATCCAGAGGAGAAAAAATGTTCCTGTTTCCGTTCTTCCTCTTTCCATTCAAATGCTGCGCAGCAGAGAACTAAACGACAAACTCTGAGGAGAAACCACCCGGCAGAGAAGATGCTAAACGCGTCAGGAGTTCACAGTTACACCACTAAGATAAAACAAGAAGGACTTTTAGTTTATTATTTACAAAATCCTTCAGCCCAGTCAGCTGAAAAACATAAAGAGACTAGAGCCAGGACTTCAAGTCGCTCATTTCGATTAATCAGAGATTTCAACGCATTGAAAATGTTAACAGGACAAATCACACTTGTTTCTTTACAGAGCCGGAGCCTCATTCGTGTTTCTGGTGCATCAGAATCAGAATGTGATGAAATAATGACAGACCCTGAACTTAATTTGAATGAACATCTTAAGAAATAATTTTAAAAATGTAATTCTTTAAATAAAAATGTAAGCAGCTCAGTTAGAACACAGTTTAGACCAGGGGTCCCCAAACCTCTTCCTGTGAGGGCCACATAACTTTTCCCTTCTCTGCTGGGGGCCGATTGCAGGAGCCT